AAAAAAAAGAAGAAAAAAGAAGAAGAAGTAGAAAAGAAGAAGAAAAAAGAAAAAGAAAAAGAAGAAGAAAAAAGAAGAAAAAAAAGAAAAGAAGAAGAAAAAAAGAAGAAGAAAGAAAAGAAGAAGAAAAAAGGAAAAAAAAGAAGAAGAAAAGAAAAGAAGAAGAAAAAGAAAAAGACTGAAAAGAAAGGAAGAAGAAAAAGAAGACAAAAAAGAAAGGAAGACGAAAAAGACAAAAAAGAAAGGAAGAAGAAAAAGAAAAGAAAAAAGAAAAAGAAAAGAAAAAGAAGAAAAAAAGAAGAAAAAGAAGAAGAAGTAGAAAAAAGAAGAAAAAAAGGAAAAGAAAGAAGAAAAAGAAAAAAGAAGAAAAGAAAAGAAAAAAAAAAGAAAAGAAGAAAAGAAGAAGAAAAAGGAAAAAAAAAAGAAGAAAAAAAAAAAGAAGAAAAAAGAAGAAGAAAAAGAAGAAGAAAAAGAAGAAAAAAGAAAAAAGAAAAAGAAGAAGAAAAAAGAAGAAGAAAAGAAGAAGAAAAAAGGAAAAGAAAAGAAGAAGAAAAAAGAAAAAGAAGAAGAAAAAAAGAAGAAGAAAAAAGGAAAAGAAGAAGAAAAAAAGAAGAAAAAAGAAGAAGAAGTAGAAAAGAAGAAGAAAAAAGGAAAAGAAGAAGAAAAAAAGAAGGAAAAAAAAAGAAGAAGAAGAAGAAGTGGTTCAATTGTGCATATGACTAATAACAGTTACTGATTATCAATGTAATTAAAAAGAATAGCCTTGCAAAAAGTGCCCCTGCCGGTAGGGCTTAAAATTCTGAACATCTCTCTGTAACCGACACACTCAACAGTTGAAACATAACAAAAGCACTCAAGATACAGACCCCCCCCACCCTCTGTTTAAAGAATGACTAAACATTACGTTTCGTTTTCAAGTTAGTTTGACGCTTCTTTTATTTTTAAATTAATTTATTTTTTTAAACTTGTTAATTCGGTATTTGTGATATGGTGTAAAGGCGACTGATTAGAAATTAGAACTTACACTCACTAATGAGAAGATACCCTTGAGGATGGTATGATTCCATCTCTACTCCCTCAGGCTATGGGTTAAATAGCAGGACAGGCTGCGTCTTATAGCTATGGTTGGCAGCCAGTCTACCGCAGAAAGAAGCGGCAAAATATTGCGGGAAAAGTCAGTCATGAATGAAAAGAGACATAATCGCCTAAGTGTGTATCACGTATGGCACTTAAATGACTGACTGTTGTTATCGTGGTTGAATAGCAGGATAGACTGGGTCCTATTGCCTTGGTTGGCAGCCAGTCTACTGCATACAGAAATGGCAATCTACTGCGGGAATATCTTCTGCCTAGTCAGTCATAAATTGGCAACCAGTCTACTGCAGAAAGTAATTCTAACCTACCTATGTCTGGCAATTAACTGGGTTCAGGTAATAAAACTGTGTCCATTTTATGGTAGGATGTTGTATCAATAATTCCGTATCCTGACATATATTTATTAACTGTATTTGTTTTATTTATAATTTATTCTATATGATGAACATTCATCGCTGAATTAAATGCATTGAAAAAGAAAAATATGTTGAAAGATAGATATTTGTTGCGCAATTTCTTTTCTACAAACATTAATATTTACCACTGAAATAAGTGCATTGACAAAGAAGATTATACTGAAATTTTTTTTTAAATTAATTGTATTTTTTAAGCTGGTGTGTAACTGAGCTATACCTACCTGAGTGCAATAATCAAAATTAAATCCGGGTCCTTACGATGAGACTCGGTGATAATTATAACACCGGAAGTAGTGGAAACTGTTTTTCTGAAGACGTCTAACGAATGAAAGTTGTTTGCTAGAACTGCCACTTGAACTGCTCCAAATATCTGGATCCAAACCCTGTTATAAAAGTCAGACTGTCCTGGCATTATGCTCCTTAACACTGGCAAAGAGCCCTTCATATATCGATCGTCAAATGAACTTTTGGGACGAGGCCAAATTTTTCTAGTGGCTTGGTCAACCAGTGACCGGAAACAAACACGATACTGATTTCAGCTGAAATCATCTTTTCTATCTACCGCGTCCCTTAAGGACATTAGCGACTATGGCTCTCCACAAATTCCTATCTCTTGTGACCCTAAGCCATAGATCGTTCTGGCATCCATTCATAGAAGTTCATCGTCTAAGTGGCTCAATGCCTTCCCCTATCACTCAAAGGCAAATAATTTGTTTGCTTGACAGAAAAATAGGCGGTAAGGTGTTAATTTGGGCTGTTATAGATATCGGCGTACAATAATGGAGCTGAGGGTCTCTAATCTAGGCAAATATATTTTGTTTGTTTTATCTTTTTAATTATCTATCCTACTTATCAATTTCGCTTCCTTCTCTTACATTCATATGAAACCACATTCACTCTACCTTGAGTGGTTCGTAGCCATTCCATTGTGTTATCATAAGGTCAATTTTATTACACAAATACGTCTAAGGTGTTTTTTACTTTCAAGTGAAATTTAACTGTTTTTTAAAAGCTATGTTTTTTTTAAAACAAATTAAAATGATTTCCCAATATGATCTGAAATGTTTACCATATTTAAGCAACTTTATATAGCATGCAATTATCAAAATATATGTCATAATAAACTTAATTTTTATGAATAAAAATGACAATAGCAAAATACGAAATGAATTTAACGTATTTTGCTTTGATGAAGTCCACATTGGATGAAACGCTAAATCGGAGAAAATTTTCACAATAAACTTAATATATCTAAAGTTAAAATAACCTTCAGGATATATGCAATCACGGCTCTCCACAACTACCTATCCTTATAGCTATGAGTAAAGTTTGTCGTTTTACCATCCCCTCCACTCCCTATGCTTCATCTTTTCACATAAACACCTTAGGTAAGTTATTGGCTGTTTATTCTCCTCTTTTTGTCTCCCAAATATCATGTGAGTGTCAAATTTTCCCAGGCTTCCTTCCTCTTCATGTGCACTAGAAATTTCAACTGCCTTTTTTCTGTTTCTATGTATCAGTCAGTTAAGTGCCATGCGTGATACACGCTTAGGCGATCATGTATCTTTCGATACATTACAGACGAGGCCGATTTTTTTTCCTGCAGTAGGTTGTCATTTATTTCTGCGGTAGACTGGCTGACAACCAAGGCTATAGGACCCAGTCTGTTCTGCTATTTAACCCATATTTGGGGGAGAAGAGATGGATTCATGGCTTTCCCAATGGTATCTGTGCGTAAGTAAATCCAGCGAACACTACTAGAATTCGAACTCGGCTCTCCGAGTTCTCACTCCGAGCCGATATCCATTAAACTACAAGTGCCCTTTTTGTTTCTATTTAAAAATGTTTCCATGACTCCCAAATTTGTTGGTGAGGGCCTCATACTGAACACGAAAACGTCTGTATGTCGTGGTTGAAGCCAACGATGATTTTATTGAATAAATTTATCTTTACTATTTCAAGATATTTTTCTGTAATTTTGGTAAATATATCTGTTAAAATGCGATGTCAATGTTATTTTTTGCTCTCTCTCTCTCTCTCTCTCTCTCTATATATATATATATATATATATATATATATATATATGAAAGCAATTATTATTATATTAATATATATTATTTATAAGTTATTTTTATAGACACAAATATTTAAGCAAGTGCTCTGTTTATAATAAACAGTATTAAACGCAAGTGAATGCAATAGACTTGACTGGAATTCGAACTCGGCACCCCGTGCCCTCAGCTCGTGCCACTACCCACTACACTACCGTGACTCTGCGGAAGGTTGGTTGGGGGCCTTGTGTCAAGTAGTGCACTAGGTCTCTGTATTCAGCCCTTCACGCGAGAGTGAAAAAAGAGAAATATTAAGTATGTCATGTGTGACGTCACGAGCTGGGACGCGATTTTCGCTTCCTTGTCTCGTAAATACGAGTTTGTCGTTACTTTGAGCTATTCAAGCAGCAAAGGAGGACTATTATTGTAGTTTCGTCTGTGTGTCATCTTTGATAATGGCTTATGTATGTCGAAAGCTTAGATTGGATTTAAACATGTATCAATATGGTGTTTTCCTTTCGTCTTTCAATGATAATGTTATTAAGCTTATCAGACAATACGAAAGGAACTTACTTAAAATAAATACACCAAACTTGTCTATATTATTTAATGAAACATACATTAATATATATATATATATATATATATATATATATATATATATATATATATATATATATATATATAATGGACTCTCCCGTCGGTTTCAACGTATGAGGATCAGACAGCTAAGTTGATTCAGTTATGAAATTTTGTGCGGTAATCTTAAGTGGCATGTAAGACCCGCTAGTGATTTACAAAGGAGGCACACACACACACACACACACACACACATATATATATATATATATATATATATATATATATATATGAAGAACTGTAAGAATGTTGGAAAAACAAAAGAAAAATATAAATTTTTCTTGACTGTCATATTCAACGAAACATGTCTGAAAGAAAAGTAGCTGCTCAAATATATATATATATATATATATATATATAGATAGAGATAGATAGATAGATAGATAGATAGATAGATAGATAGATAGATAGATAGATAGATAGATAGATAGATTTGGCAGCAGTCCTTATTTTTATACAAGTTTGATTAAAGAAAACAGATAAGGTACTCGGATTAATCTTTTATTCATTTTTTCTTGCGTTCATATAAGTGATTTCTTTTCTGGAAATGAAGTGCTTATAAACTATTCGATCGTTCTATGTGTCCGAACGCTTTCGGCTATATTTTTAACCGAATGTTAGTTACCCCAAACTGGAGTCAAACACTATGAAAGTTTAAAAATAGGTTTCAATACCCGAAATACTTTGGAAAAATATCATTATCAGCAATACATTTTTGGAAAAAAAATGTTACCAGCGATACATATTGGAAGGAAAAGTATTACCAGAAATTGATTTTTGAAAACAAATATTGCCAAAAATGAAACATTTGTCGGCATTAAATAACCCTTTGAAGTTGATATGTCGTAATACAAACCAAACCAGAAACCAGATCTATCTATCTATCTATCTATCTATCTATCTATCTATCTATCTCAGTCTGTTGATTATCTATCTATCTATCTATCTATCTATCTATCTAGTCTGTTCATTTCTATCTATCTATCTATCTATCATCTATCTATTCATTATCTATCTATCTGTTCATTTCCTATTTATTTAAAGCCATATGTTCATTACACTAGACAAACTGTTTTCTTCTGTCTGGTGTTGAGGATATGTTTTCTTGTAAGTTTGGGGCGCTGATTTCAATAATAAAATCCATTTTGTTCTATCACGTCAAGGTTTTTCACAAACTGAAATGTACATTTTTCAACATTTCCGGTATTGTCCCCAAATGCAGACCCCCATATATGGAGCTTGATGTAACTTCTAAAACAGTTTTCCGATGTCCTTTAAATTAAATACATCTACAAAAGTGAAAAAAGTCATGATGTAAGTATCTTCAGTAAATAAAAAGCGTCAAATTTGACCAAAATTCACTATTTTTAATTTAACCAGTTCCAAATGCCATGATGATGACAGAAATAGCCTTTGTATAATTCTTTCTTTTTATTTGCCGTGTCCGTTCAGGACGTAGGCAATCATAGCTTTTCTCTTCCCCATGTCCCTTGTAGCTCTCAATAAGTTTTCTCCCTTTGCTACTTACCCCAGGCCATATTCAGTGATCCATTTGTTAATAAACAACTTATCTTTTTGCTCCTTAACATCCTTCATGTCTCATATTTTTAGTATTTTCTGTATTTGACCAGAGGCTGTGATTGATGTTGTGTGACTATCATTGCAAACCATGGTCAAATATATTTTGCTGAACCTTTTTTTTTTAAAGCATTTCACCCCAAGCAAGGCGAGAGGCCACTAGGACGCAAGGGGTTACAGAAGATTTGGAGCAAGATCAGATAGGAGTGATAGAGGAAAGGATGTGGAGAAGGATAGTGGATAGATCAAGTCAACTGGAGATGTCGATTGACATTACATTTGAATAGATGGAGATTATAGCTCTCAGGGAAACTGGAATAGGGAAGGGAGTTCCACAGGCGAGAGATGCGAGACATGAAGCTATTGGAGTAGAAGAGACGGCTACATTTAGGAGTTTCGACAGTGAAGGGGTGAGAGCGGGATGCCAGCCTTGTAGGGCGCTTGAACTCATGAAGCCTGGGAACCAGCCTCGTAGGGTACTTGAACTCATGAAGTCTGGGAACCAGCACTATTTCATATGGGCACATGGCCGGGTTCGAATCTCACGATTTGTCAGAAAGGAGACTTCCTGATATTATCAGACCGGAGGGGGGTCGATCCCAGCATGCAGCACCTTTGGAATGTACCAGAAAACCATACCACAGGTTGACGCAAGCCATGTGAATAAAATTGGGTAGACGGGACCCTTGCGGTCCGTCGATAGTTGTGCTTGCACAAGGTCACAAGTCATCGTGGCTGAGGGCTTCAGCGTGCTGGCCTTGTTCAAATTGTTGATCGCGCTAGATAATACTCTTTCCCAGAAACTATAACTAAGGTCTGCTCATCATAATTGCAGTATAAACCACAGGTTGGCCTGAGCAAACGTCTGCAATAGGGATTGACTAGCCACCCTAGTATCCTCGAATACAAGTGGCCAGTTAAACATACAAGTATTTCATATGAAAATAGGTATTTTGACTTCATTATTAATGTAATTTTGAGGGTCAACATGGATCAATATCGGATTTTCTCAAGCAGGATCAAAGAACCATCGAAAGAACTTCATTGTTTATTTGCTCTTTAAAGAACTTTGCCTACACAGATCTGTAGTTATTTTCTTTTTAACTGTTGACTGTTCTGAGAATGCGTTTCTCAGGTGACAACTGGCTTGAATATATGCTTTGTATTTCAGAAATAGGGTCAGTTGTGAGAGAAGAAAATGAAAAAAAATAGCCTCGTTCTCTTCTGTAATATTTGTGATGTTATATCGAGAGAACGAAGTTTGTGAAGAAAGCTTATTTTGCTTTGACATGGAAACGGCTTATCAAGACAAATCCAGGAAAAACTATATAATGTGCAAAACGTGTTGAAACACTAAGACAATGGACAAAGAGCAAACGAAATCATCGAACCTTTGCAATTGCCATGGTGCAGAGGGAAGCACAAAACCATCATGGCGACTGCTGCTTTATCAAGACTGATATATTCTGGCGGGAGTGACTATGATTCACTTAAGGGTGCTTGTCCCCTTGATGAAGTCTAAGTGCTGGTTTTCCACCCATAGGATTCCGCTGGTAACAGCCCTCGGGCTGGCGAAGAGGCCAGACGCTGTCCGCAGACAATAAATGTTGGATACCCGCTTCCTAAATGCGCCGGCTTTTGTGGGGTTGCCATCCTCCCTAGACTGTTAAACATGGTTCTAACACAAGAAATGAAGGCCTCGACAACCCCTCCCCCACGAGTCGTAGGTGACCATAATAACACTTCTAACTTCATGTCGACCGGGAAGACTCGCCTTCCCACGGGTGCTGCCCTGTTTGCTCGCGTACTTTCAAGCGAACAGTCAGGGTCGCTAGCCACATGTGGAAAATGCATCCTGCTCAGTGGAATGAGATTTAAAAAAAACGGCACGACGCCTCCCGTCGCTCGCACGCCCGCACCTAAGTGCCACATCGTTTATCCAAATTTACCACCCGTATTTCGAGCTGAACTACACACGGATGATTTGCCGCCGATTTCATGTCCTTTGTTGATGATTGTAATGGTTAGAATGAACAGATGGGCGATGATAATCTGAAAGAAGAATATTACGAGAGACAAGTGGCTCGGCACAAACTTTTTAAACAGTCAGAGTTAAACAATTAAGTTTGTGATCTGGAAAGACTCCCATTTTTTTGGAGTCAGCGTTAAAAAAAAGGACCTGATTGTAACAGAAACAAGTTCGCGTTTTATAAGCATCGAAAGAATGATTTGCTTCCATTCTTCAGCGTGGATGGAGGTTTTGTTTATTGCAATGATATTAAAAACATCATGGCTGCCATAAAGTGTTAATACAATCCAGAAGACTAGAGGCTTTTCATAGACAGCTCAAAAGCTACTCTTAGCTCAGACGAGAAAAATATCGGAAAACAGTCATTTATCTTGGGGGCTTTATCACAGAATTTAACCAAAACTTATTCAACACAATTAATTTATTTCTTCATACTTTTTTATCTTATTCTCACTTGTGATTAATTTTATGAAAAATTAATTTTGTCTGAACAAAAAATAGAAATCAATTCTTAAGTGTTCATTGATTTAAGTTTTTAAACATCATTAAAATCCGTAAACCTAGGAGTAACAATAGGATAGTACAATAAACATAATGATTGGATGTTCTCTCGGGTGGGCCTCTGCCTTGAGCGCCTCTTGAACGTTAAACTTAACCTAGACCTCAAGTGGAACTCGTATATACAATCCATCGGCGCATCCACTACCGTTACAAAAGCCAGGTGAGGCCTAAAATGGAGTCAATCGCCGTACGTGAGACCCGCTTGCGTTCTCCTATCTTTCGATTGATGACTGACTACGCAGAAAATTTTCCCATAATAGGGAGCCGTTATTTTATTGTCCTAAAGTACTGTTGCCACATAGGAATAAGAGTTACAGTCTTCACTTTCTCCGCTCTCGATAGAATCCCAAAGCGTTTAGTGAGTCAGGTGGTCCTTGACCTTCTATTGGGACATCAACTTAATCCAGACCTCAAGTGGAACTGGTACATATAATCAATTGCGAAAGATGCTGGAAACATAGTTGGTTTTCTATACCTCTGTAGTAAGTAACTGACGCCTCATAGTATTGTCTACCTTTACAAGAACCAGATCAGGCCTAAAATAGAGGGCTGCGGACATACTTGGGCCGGAGCTGTACAGTTTTCACTTACCAGTCTCGATATAGTCCAAAAGTGTCTCCGCGTCCTTGTGGGTGACAAATTATTTCCCACCTTGAAATCCTTCTCTCATAACAAGAGATGTCACAAGCGTCTCAGTGCTGCATTGCTATCTTCATGGAAAGTGCTCAGACGAACTACATTTCAAGTTCCACCAGTGTTAACATTCACGGCTAAGATCTGACATACTGTAGGTATTGTAATGAACCACTATCACTCCTTCCATATCCACTTCCCATGAATTAACTTCCACTGGAACAGAAGCTTCTCACGAATCACTGGTCTGTGGAACCAACTCCCAAGAGGATGCTTCCCCGATCACTACAATCTTAATCTATTCAAGGCTAAGGTTAACGGTTATCTTCCATAGTAGCAGACCACACACATTTCCTCCGTATTCCATCGGTGAGAAGTAAGTTCCACTCTAACAGACTCTTCCCGAGAACCACTGCTCTATGGAACCAACTCCCAAGAGGATGCTTTCCCGATCACTACAATCTTAATCGATTCAAGGCTAAGGTTAACCGTTATCTTCCAGAGTAACAAACCACACACATTCCCTCCGTATTACATCGGTGAGAAGTTTCACACTAACAGCTTCTTCTCAGGAACCATTGCTCTATGGAAGCGACTCCCAAGAGGATGCTTCCCTAATCACTAAAATCTTAACCTGTTCAAGTCTAGGGTTAACCGTTATCCTCCCCACCTATCCCCATAAACTGTGCCTCTTACTGTAACCCTTTACCTCCAGTCACTCCAGGGCATGGACAGGGTGAACCACACTGTAAAAAATCAAAATTCTTCCAGTTTGCATAAAAAATGTCACTAAACAACAACCTTAGAATTAGATTCTTAGAATTCATGTTTTTTTTAATCGTATGTCTTGCACAAAAATTGATTGTTTAACGACAGATAGCATATAAATATCTCAGTTAATTAAATGAGTCACCTCTCTAGTTTGATTCACACCCAAAATAATTCCCTTTACTCGTGAATGAATCATTCAACTGTATAAGAAAATCTCCTGTATCATTTGCGTTTCTCTAAAATGCAATTCCTTCTTTCTTTCCCGTTTTTAGACCAATTCGATGATACACATTTAACAAAATGGAGTAGAGGACGTTTTATAGAATTTGGGTTGGAAACATCTAATTTAGTTAATGCATTGCCGAGTTTCAAATAGAATTTTAAAGTATATATTGTGGGAATCAGGGAGCATGAAAGAAAGAAGGTTTATCCTTTCTTTTGGGGGCGAGCAGGGGGGGGGCGAATTCCTGATACGTTTAATACAGAAATTAAGAATTGTTTTAGTCGCATCTATTTTTACAATTGTTCCTTTCCTCTTTCTCGATTCGGGCAGCAATCATTTTCTTGTTTATTCCATGTCGAAGATATTTTATATATTTATTTATGTATCTATTTTATTCCACCCTTTGTTTTGTTTTTTGTTTTAGTTTTTTTTTGGGGGGGGCGGATAATTTTATTAGTTCTTTCCCATTCCTCAATGGAATTCTTTTGCCTTAGGCTTCATTTCGTTTTCGCTATTAATATATTTTTTCCGATGATCTATTTTCGGGATTTTACATACATACATAGATAGATAGATAGATAGATAGATAGATAGATAGATAGATAGATAGATAGATAGATAGATAGATAGATAGATAGATATGTATGAACAGATAAATAGAGGACATGGCACAATGGATAAAGGCGTTAGTTAGATCCAGTGAGAGGACCTAAAGAGTGTGAGTTCAATACCCGGTTAAGGCAGTGGAGAACTTTCAGAGGGAAAATTAACAGGAGATAACTGATAACTGACACCCATTAAAACATGGCTCGTGGAACTAGAACAGTCTACCCCAGTGAGCGAAATAAAGGGTTCAGTTCGACGTTCCAACCACCTGAAGAAGGCCGGAGCGTATCACAGCCGAAACGTTGTAATAAACATGGCGACAAAGATGAGGACAATAGTCCGAATAATGTAAATAGTGTACATAATAACCTCATCTCAGAAATATAGACAGATACTGAAGGACCGAAACGTTGTGATAAATATGGCGGCAAAGATGAGGACAATAGTCCGAATAATGTAAATAGTGTACATAATACCTCATCTCAGAAAGAAGGACAGATATATATATGAAATTCTGTAGTAATTTATTTCATTAAAATACTACAGAATTTCATTCCTAACTGTGTATTTCTCCAATACCAGTTTATATATATATAATATTTTAAAGCGGGATTTGCCTTGCCTTTCATTTAGTGCAAGTGCTCTTATGTATTTCATTTCATGTTTCTATATCTCTCTGCAGTGAGTCGTGTCAAGTTAAGAATATGAAGGTATCCTACCAGCTTTCTATGATTGGACCTGCCTTATTCTTAATTACCATCAAAGACTTTACCGATTCCATCAATTCCTCACTTGGTATCTATGCTGATAACACAATTTACTCCAATCTTAAAGTCAAATTAGTAACTGATATCGAAAATGACTTACAATTTGTTGCTGACTGAGGCCACAAATCGCCAGCTAATATTAACACCCCAAAAAGAAATTGAACTTGATTCATCGTATAAGAGGAATTTTTTTATATTATATCAACTGGTGAGCAATTCAATTCTCCTTTCAAGTCTAACATTTTCTACTGATATGAATTCGAACGATTATATAGAATCATTTGCTAAGTCTGCGCCTACGAATGTTGGTCACGGTGTCGCTATAGACAGTTTCTCTTGTCATAATCTTACACCTGTATAAGACCGTGATTCTACAGTACGCTGATTTTTGCGCTCACATCTGATGTCGTGCTTTTGGTATGCATCTACAGAGTTTAAACAATATCCAAAGCAGAATCTGTAATTTCATCTGCCCAGTTCTGGCATCTCGGCTTTAATCACTCTTCCACCGCAGTACCGTAGCCTTTTCTAGAACTAGTTTTTTTTTGTTTGTTTTAAAAAAAAAAAAAACAACTCGAGATCACCCCATTCAAGGCAGTAAAGCCACTAAGACACAAGGGTTTCTGGGTGTGGAAGAATTAGGAACAGAAATATTAATAATGAGCGGGAAGAGAAAAGAATAATCAGGAGGACAGTAGATAGCGATTGGCATTACATTTAAATTTTGAAGATTAAAGTTGGCTGGAAAGCATGGAGCTGGAAGGGACATCTACAAGCGAGAAGTGCAAGAAAGGACACTGTTTGCATAGTACTTTCGGCTACATCTCGCAAGCTCAACTACAAATTGGTGAGACCTCCACGTCAGTCTAGTACTGCGCTTAAATTGAAAAAGTCTAGGTACCATAGCGAAGAGTTCTTCCGAAGAATTATCGTGAAAGTATTTATAGAAAAGGCACAGGAAGGAAACTTTACGGCAGTGGGAAAGTGACTGAAGCAGAGATGCCAGATCAGGATCAACAATATTGCTGATTCTTCTTTGGATTTTATCAAAACGCTAGATAAATAGCAGAATAAACAAACCATATGTGGCACCTTATTCTAAGCATGGTCTCTAGTTATGGAAGATAGATTCAGAAGAAAACCCTGTCTCGCAGGACACAGCAGCTGACCTAACAATGGATCCAATATATTCATTCCATTTCATGTCAGCAGGGAACGTTAGCCCGACAACGCGTAACGAGTCCCTTTAATGGGGGTTAGCATCAGCCATGATGATGGAAGCCAGAAACGCATCCTTAAGATCATTAATCGGGAATAGTTTTGTTTTCGAATGGCAATTGTTCTGGAGAGCTTTCCTCTTTAGCACTTCGATTTCATAAATATAAACCCAGTACTAGATTGGCAATTAGGTCCCATCCTTACACGTCTAAGTGTAAGCGTAATTTCTATGCTAATGTTTTGTTCTCTCATATTCTTGCTTGTCGAACTCTCTTCCATCTTGCTTTTTTAACAAAAATTAAATACATTACTAGGTCACTGGTGTTTTTATTTTCCTGTCTCTCGTCAACGTTTTCCCACTTTCTTTCCCTCTCTCTACCTCCTTGTATCTTAGTGACTTTATCGCCTTGCTTGGGGTTAAAGGATTAAAAATCTACCTATCTATCTATCTATTGCTTCTGTTTCTTCTTATCGTTTGGCATCCTGGGTTTGACGATAAACTACATCTGGCAGTAAGACCTCTGATCGGGATGTTGTGAGAAGCGTGAAAGCACCTCTTAATTGTTCTTATTCCCAGGTCCATAATGACCCCAGGTGTTAGCATCTGTTAGGATTCCAGCTATGGTCAAATAGTAAACCCCGAGACTGGGGTCTTTTCGTAGTAAAACATATTACCAGCAATACATTTGACTATTTACCAAAACGCTCTTTTAAAAAAATACGTCAATGTGCAAATTGTGCAAACTGATTTCTCACAAAAAATACATATTCTATTCATACGAAGCATAAAAATGAATACAATATGGGAACCAGTAATGAGGAGTGCTAGAGAAAAGCGATAATAACAACAAAAATTGCAATATGAACTCTAGTAAAAAACATGTAATGACAACAGCAAAAATTGCAATATGATCTCTGGTAAAAACATATAGATAACATCAAAAATTGTAATATGAGCACTGGTAAAAAATTGTTGCTAAAGACATTAGGTTTTTAATACCCAAAAATTCATACCCAAGGAGACATGGCACAGTGGATACAGGCGTTAGTTAGATCCAGTGAAAGGATCCAAAGAGTGTGAGTTCAATACCTGATTAAGGCGGTGGTGAACTTGGATAGGAAATAACTGATAACTGACATCCATTAGACATGGCACGTGGAACTAGAACTAAAATAAAGGGTTCAGTTCGACATTCCAACCACCTGAAGAACGCCGGAGCGTACAACGGCCGAAACGTTGTAATAAATATGGCGACAAAAATGAGGACAAAAATAGTGTCGTACGAAGCCATTAAATAACCCATTGAGGCTGATATGCCATAAAACAAAATAAATTATCGGGCTTTTCTTTCTTTCTTACTTATAAATTATTTGGGCTTTTCTTTCTTTCTTTCTTTCTTACGTCCATTTTTCTGTCATAGCCTAATTACCTTTCTTTCTATTTTACTTTCATTTTATGTATTCTCTGACTTTATACTTCTTTTTCATTTGGTTTTAGTTTCCTTACTCATCTTTTCTTTCTTTTTTCTTTCTTTCTTTTTTTATCTCGTTTTAATAATTTCCTCCTTTATTTTTCTTTTTTTCTTTCAATCGTTCTGGCTTTATATTGTTCTTTCTTTTGTTTTTATTTTTATTTTCCTTCTTTTGATGTTTTTTTTTTTCTATTTTTCTTTCCATTCCTCGAACTTTATTTCCTTCTCTCTGTCTTTTTTTCTTAATAGCTTTCTTCATATTTTTAATATTATTCTTTCTAATAATCTCCTTATTTTTCTTTCTTTTTATCGTTTCTTTATGTTTCGTTCTGACCAATTATTTTCTTTTTTTCTTCCTTCTTTCTTTGTTCCTATTTTTTCTTTCTATTTTTCTTTCTTTTTCTTTTTTCATATTTCTCCTTCTGTCTTTCTGTTTTTCATCATTTTTTTCGTTCTTTGCTTGTTCCTTTCTTTTTTTCATTCTTCTTCCTTTCTGTCTCATTTTTCTTTTATCTTTTTTCCTTGTTTCTTTCTTTCTATATTTCTTTCTTTCTATACATTTTCCATTTCTTTTCTACTTTTCTTTCTTTTTATCATTATTTTTCTATTCCTCATTCTTTCTATTTCTTTTTTTTCCTTCTTTGTTCGTTTCTTTTTCTATATCTCTTCTTTTCTCTCTTTTCCTATTTTCTTTCTCTCTTTGTTTATTTCTTTCCGACTTTTTTACTTTCCTTTATTCTCTTTTTCTAATTTGTTCCTATTTTTCTTTCTTTCTTTTTATCATTCTTTCTTTCTGTGTCAACTTGTTTTACTTTTTTCGCCCACTTATTCCTTCCATGTTTTTTGATTATATTTTTTCTTTCTTTATCTTTTTTTCTATCACTCTTTTTATTTTATTTTCCTTCTTTCTTTGTTCTTTCTTTCTATATTTCTATTTCCCTTTTTCTACTTTCTTTCTTTATTTCCTTCTATTTTTCTTTATTTATTGTTCTTTCTTTCCGTCTCTTCTCATTGTATATTCTTTGTCTTTCTTTTTATTCCTTCTTTATTTCTTCCTTTCGTTCTTTGCTTTTGATTTTTCTTTATTTAATGTTCTTTCTTTCTTTTTTTCTCTCTTTCTGTCTCTCCCTCTTTCATCCTATATTCATTCTATTTTCGTTTTTCCATCTTTTTTATTTATTTATGTCTTTCTTTCTTTCTTTCATTCTCTTCAAGTTTTCCTTTGTCATATTCACCTTCCATTCTTTCTTTCTTTTTTTCTCTTTTCCAGCCCTTCTCTGTTTTATCCACCTTTCTTTCTTTCTTTCTCTCTTTCTTTCTTTCTTTCTTTCGTTCGTTCGTTCTTTCTTTCTTTCTTTCTTTCTTTCATTCTCTTCAAGTTTTCCTTTGTCATATTCACTTTCCATTCTTTCTTTCTTTCTCTTTTCCAGCCCTCCTCTGTTTTATCCACCTTTCTTTCTTTCTTTCTTTCTTTCTTTCTTTCTTTCGTTCTTTCTATCTTTCTTTTTTCTTTCTCTTCAAGTTTTCCTTTGTCATATTCACCTTCCATTCTTTCTTTCTTTCTCTTTTCCAGCCCTCCTCTGTTTTATCCACCTTTCTTTCTTTCTTTCTTTCTTTCTTTCTTTCTTTCTTGCTTTCTTTTCAAGTTTTCCTTTGTCATATTCACCTTCCATTCTTTTTTTCTTTCTCTTTTCCAGCCCTCCTCTGTTTTATCCACCTTTCTTTCTTTCTTTCTTTCCATTCTTTCGTTCTTTCTTTCTTTCTTTCATTCGTTCTTTCTTTCTTTCTTTCATTCTCTTCAAGTTTTCCTTTGTCATATTCACTTTCCATTCTTTCTTTCTTTCTCTTTTCCAGCCCTCCTCTGTTTTATCCACCTTTCTTTCTTTCTCTCTTTCTTTCTTTCTTGCTTTCTTTCTTTCTTTCGTTCGTTCGTTCTTTCTTTCTTTCTTTCTTTCTTTCTTTTTATTCTTTCATTCTCTTCAAGTTTTCCTTTGTCATATTCACCTTCCATTCTTTCTTTCTTTCTCTTTTCCAGCCCTCCTCTGTTTTATCCACCTTTCTTTCTTTCTCTCTTTCTTTCTTTCTTTCTTTCTTTCTTTCTTTTGTTCGTTCTTTCTTTCTTTCTTTCTTTCTTTTCAAGTTTTCCTTTGTCATATTCACCTTCCATTCTTTTTTTCTTTCTCTTTTCCAGCCCTCCTCTGTTTTATCCACCTTTCTTTCTTTCTTTCTTTCCATTTTTTCTTTCTTTCTTTCTTTCTTTCTTTCTTTCTTTCTTTCTTTCTTTCTTTCTTTCTTTCTTACTCTCCATCTGCACCTGCTTTCATCGATTAGTCTTTCCTTCTATACTTCGAGCATCTCTCTTTGTTTTTCCTTTCCTCGTCCTAAATTTTTCTTCGCCCAAGGCGACATTGGTGGGAGGATATTCTAATTAAGGGAAGAGCAGATGGACGGACGTTTGGACAACTGGATCTCAGCGTTCGTCCATAATGGGTGAATCTGAATTGCTATGTTTTATCCATCCCATACCCCGCCAGCCACATTTAGCTGAATCAATGACCGCTTTTTCCACCATCCAAGTCACGTGACAGAGGTGGAGAATTCCTTCTCTCCGTCTTGTCACATCGTGGATTAGAACGGCTTCTTGTTTACTCGGCAATTTGTTTTCTTCTTGCTCATTTTCGCCATTACATTGTCCTTAATTAGAACTAATTAGATAATGAGATATTGAAATGGCGAATCTCTTCATAGGCGAGCCTCATGTCACGAATGTATTGCTGGCATTTTGTTTGGGCAAATGTGCCCACACGGACTAAGCACTTGTGTATCAGTGTGTGTGCACTGGTAGCAACGAAACGCACTATGTCCGAATGGGAAAAAAATAAAAAGTAAGCTAACTAAGATGGTGCAAAATCGGGTTGCTGAACGTTGAATTCATTTCCTCTAAAAATGTTGATAATGGCTCGAAATTGTTAATCGAAGATTTGAGTTCCAATTGTAGTGGGATTCATTATATATCACTTATAGACAATAGATTCACCTCTCCTCCCTCCACATATGGGTTAATTAGTAAAACTTGAACCACTAAACCATTATTATCTAAAAAAAAAAAAAACTATTACAATCTAAAAAATGTTTCCTGGTTTTAAATAACCCGCAAATGGTTGATAATCCGTAAAAAAACAAATTAAACAATAAACTGCACATGTTAAATGTCACTAAACATTAGAAATTGTTCAAACATAAAGCATATATTTATTCGCTTGACCTTCCTTAAGTCACAGGTACTGACTTGCAAACGGATTTGTTCTGAACAGAAAGCAATAATAATAAATTTTATAACTTGGTAATTTTTTCCTGTTCATTTCCTCTGATTTTGTTTTATGCGTTTGGGTTCAAACAGGCCCAAACAAGTATTTGAACTCTATTCTCTGATTCAATTTGCTGCTAACGGGTCTCGTCGTCTTTCATTCCTTACTGAATTACCCATAATTCATTGCGTATATGTAGATTTTCAGTTTTTATTATTGCTTTTATGATCGCGAAGTAATTTCCATGATATTCTTTTTTCCTTCTTCTTTTCCCCCTTTTCCCCCCTAACAGTTTTACAAGCAACTCAAGTTTAAAACTGAAGGATCCTTTGCTTGGAAATCAGGAAAACTACAGGACATTCCCGATATTGTCTTTGGATTTCTTTCATTGATTATCTGAGAACTATCATCGAAATTGGAAAGTGATCGACTCATACGCATGCGCACCTGAGCCGGAAGCGAAGATATTCGAAAACTCACTAGCACTCTTAGAAATCGGATGCCGTTTGCCTGAAATACATTTAACATTCCTTTAACGTATATATATATATATATATATATATATATATATATATATATATATATATATATATATATATATTGTATATTTGGGCAACAATCCTGTTTTTTCTGCAACTTCCGTTCAAAACGATTGACAAGTTGTGGTGGTTGATTTTTAAATAATGTTTCATATGTTCGTGTATATTTTTTCTTTTAAGTGAATAAATTATATAAGAATCGTCCTCTGTCTTTTTTTACAAATACTTTCATGATAACTGCTCCAAGAATCTGCTTTCGCTGGTTCCCAGACTTCATGAATTTAAGCGTCCTACGAGGCTGGCATCTCGCTCACACCCTTTCACTGTCGAAACTGTTAAATGTAGCCGTCTCTTCTACTCCAATAGCTTCATGTATCGCACTTCTCGCCTGTGGAATTCCCTCCCCATTTCTTGTTTCGCTGATAGCTATAATCTCCAATTATTCAAATGTAATGTCAATCGCCGTCTCCAGATGCCCTGATCTATCCTCTAACCATCTCTTCATCCTTTCCTCTATCACTTTTATTTGCTCTCGCTCCAACTGTCTGCAACCCCTAGCGTGCTAGGGCTTCCCGCCTTGGTTGGGGTGGAATGCTTAAAAAAAAAATGAATATACGCATTGTTTTATATAGGCATCTAGATTTATAGGAATGTTTTATTTTTTCAAACATGGTCAGTATGTTGTGACCGTGTTCATAGCTGATATTATTAAGTGTTGGCTTTTTTTTTGTTATTAATAATGCTAACATTTTTTTAACCTTTGTGTACATGTGGATGAGGCTATTTAACTGAGACCTAATAATGCTAGGGTCAGAGTGATGTAATGTGAGTCTTCTTGTTAGGTATGTTGTGGTATATCCAATATAATTATTTACAAATTTGGTTGGTCCTGAACACAACTCCTTAAGGGACATGTAGATTCGATCTCCTACTTACTTGTGCAAGAAAAATCTACGACGCTTTCCTTGATGATTTTTTATAAAAAAAATAAGTAGAAAATGTTTTATATATATTTATATATATATATATATATATATATATATATATATATATATATATATATATATATATATATATGTGTGTGTGTGTGTGTCATTCATTCGCAGACAGTACTGTTTCGCTGTATCACAGCTTCTCTGTGCGAATAGACAACCTGAATGCCTCAAGCCCTGGTCGAAACTCAACTGATTTGGTGTCAATCAGAGCTTCTACCACTGAGCCATCTTCACTCGGCAGAATGAGTCAGCCAAATCTAGCGTATTGTTTTTTACAAACATAAACAAACGCCAAGCAGCCATAGTGCTCCATCCATTTTACTGAAGAGCTTCGCATTTACGCAGTTGACCGTTGTTTTTAGAATTAGCTTTTCATTCAACAGTGCTCAATTGAAAATATATTTTCAAGAGCTAAATTATGTCATTCGCAGACAGTACTGTTTCGCATCTCCTCAGTGCGACTAGACAATCTAATGCCTCAAGCCCGGATATATATATATATAGTAGTGGTATCTCTCTCTCTCTCTCTCTCTCTCTCTCTCTCTCTCTCTCCCCTAAATTCAATTACTTACATATAATAGAATTTAGGCAAATCATTACAGTAATTCATCGAGTCTAGAATAATCCTCAACAGAATACAGAAAATATTGGATGGCCGTTTAGTCATATTTTAAGACTCATCGGTAGTGCTTATCCACTACCGAGATTCGAACCCATACCGTTTCGATACAACGCAAGCGCCATACCAACTGTACGAACAGCCTTGCTGACAAAGAAACTAAATAGACTCGCTATAGCGCCGCTACTTACAAATTCCGTGGTGATATTCATCCAAGTATTCATAATCCAAAGGATTGTCCCACGATTCACATTTTCCTTTCCCCCAAATCATGATTGTAATTCATCGAGTCTAGAATCCTATTTTGGGACTCCTCTACCGAGATTCGAAACTGAACCGTTACGATACAACGCAAACGTCATACTAGTGAACCAGCAGGCCTTGGCGACGAGGATGTCACTATCTAGACTCGATATAGCGTTACTCTAAACTTTCCGTGGTGTGACTCATCCAAGTATATTTTTTCCATAAGATTATCCACCCCATCCCCCTCACGAGCAACGTCTTCTCCTCCCAGGTTTGTTTGTTTTTGATTCTGCCGTCTGTGAGAAAAAATCCCCATGACGCAATTCATTCTTCCAGAAATTTGGACACGGCATGCTGTACTGCTTGGCATTCGCACCGGTAGCTCCAATTCGAACATTTCAGAATGTTTGGGTGTCAATCTGAGCAGAGTGCAGAGGATTTGGCGGGGATGAGATATCCAGTCAACAACATGGTGTTAGGAGAGAACACTAGTGATAGCGGCATTATGCGTCCATTAATCTTCCCACGGGGTCACAGACAACCCAGCGGCCTACATCAAGTGGCTTGAGGAGGTCGTGCTGCTATGCCTGTCAATAGGATTCTGCACCGTGCCTCACAAGCAGTCAGACAGTTTCTGCGACCACATCACCCCTGATATCTTGTCACCTAACTCCCCAGACTGCAGCACCATTGATTATTATTTGTGGAGCAAGAAACTAACAAAACTCTGTGTCATACCAAAGATGAACTGAAGACAAGAATTATGGCAGCATTGACAAGGAGACTGCGCAGAAATGAGGCAGAAGATTCCGAATTCGTCTGGAGACCCTAGTTGAAGTCTATGGCGATTTTATTGAATAGATTTACTCTTTCACATTTCATGATATTTTTGGTAAATATATCTGCATTTAGACGACAATTTATCCATCGCACCCTGTACATCTGTTAAAATGAGATGTCAGCGTTATTTACATTTTGGCGTCATTTAGACGACAATTTATCCATCGCACCCTGTATATCTGTCAAAATGAAATGCCAGTGTTATTTTCATTTTGGCGTCATTTAAACGACAATTTATCCATCGCACTATGCACATCTGTTAAAATGAGATGTGAGCGTTATTTACATTTTGGCGTCATTTAAACGACAATTTATCCATCGCACCCTGCACATCTGTTAAAATGAGATGTGAGCGTTATTTTCATTTTGGCGTCATGTAGACGACAATTTATCCAACGCACCCTGTACAGTTTGAAACGATCTCATTCACCCTTCGCGACAGCTGACATTTCGGGGACACATAATGAGGAAAGAGGTCATGGAAAATTTAACACTCACAGGGCATATAGAAGGAAATAAATAATAAAGATAATATAAGCCGTTTCCCTATAAGGAAACATTCGGAATTCATTAACTGAACAGCTCGTACTATTGTCGATTGAAATTTATATAATCTTTCTCTTAAAACAATTTTTCAGAAAATTAGGTTTCTCAATTGTAGTAGCTGCTATAGCTTTTTCCAGTATTGACGGGTGTTTCCTTCCTAAGTTTTTATTTGAAGTAATGTGAGATGTCACCATGTTGATTATGTCATTATTTTCTCTTCAAGTTCCATGTGATATCCATTTTAGCTGATACTGTAGTTGAAAGTCCCCAAGTGATACGGTTTCTATTTTCTGGTAGAGGTCTTTGTTTAGGATTCTG